AGTTTTATTTCTTTGTTCCGTCATCGCTGCGCATCAGTTTCGTTCATTCCTTGGCCAAAGATCTCCAGTGAATCGCCATTTTCCCCCCCTCAAAGTAGCAAGATGACCTAAACACAAATACACACCTTACTACCACTCTGAGGCCAAAAGAGCAGTTCATTACAGATAATTCTTATTGACAATTGAGCACAAAACTCCTGATGCTAATCAAGGCAACTGTTCAGCGAGTTTTGCTTCATTTAATGAGCTTTTTTGGGGCCACAAGTAAAGTGAATTGCGGCAGTCGTTAAGTGAATCACACGGTCGTTAAGTGAATCTGGAACTTGCCTTCAGACGTTGTGGATGCTTCATTGGAGGTTTTTAAGAAGAGACTGGACAGCCACTTGTCTGAAATGGTATAGGCCAGGGGTAGGCAACCTCGCTCTTTATGACTCGTGGACTTCAACTCCCAGAATTCCTGAGCCAGCATGGCTCAGCTTGGAAACCTCTCCCTTTCTCCTCAGCATGGCTGGCTCAGGAATTCTGGGAGTTGAAGTCCAGGAGTCATAAAAAGAGCCAAGGTTACCTACCCTTGGTATAGGGTCTCCTGCTTGAGCAGAGGACTGGACTAGATGACCTCTAAGGTCCCTCCCAGCTCTATTCTGATTCTGATTCTTTTGACTTTGCTTGCTGGAAGCTGGCTAGGAAGGTTAGAAATGATGATCACACGACCTTGGGACAGTGCAACCGTCTGTCAGATCTGCCTGGCTCGGCTTGGGGGGAGTTTCATAGGCATCCTGCCATAACAAAAATGGGGGGGGAGGAAGGATGAAAGGGGGTAAAGGGGGGGAGAAAGAAAGAAGGAAAGATGAAAAGGCAATAAAGCTTTGTATGTACGTGATAGGAAATTGGGAGGAAGGGGAATGACAGGTGAGAAGGACCAGAATAGTTGGATTCTATTTGTGCCTGCATCCCATGGCCAGGCACCCTGAAAAATATGCGAATTACGCCCAAACATCTGAGTTGTCGTAACATCTTGGCAAGCTCCGGTTGGCTGGAAATGGACTGGTTCCGGAGGGAGGGATGGACTGGAGGGCAAACCTACACCTTATTTTGGGTACCTAGCGAGCGTGGGAGATTTCAGAGCTGGCTTGACTTTTACTGCAACCAACATCCTTAGTAAAAGAACTCTTTGCTTTAACCCAGTGGTTCTCAACCTGTGGGTCGGGACCCCATTTGGGGTCGAATGACCATTTCATGGGGGTCGCCAAACAACGCAGTCTGCCATTTTTTCCCCCTTTTCCTTAGCTAGCTACTCCCTTTTATTCTATTGGCTTTTGAAAGCCAATAGAATAGACTCTCTTGAATAGAGTCTAATCTATGGCTTCAAAGACCCACTCATAAAAAAAAAAAAACAATTGAAAAAAACAATAAAAATAAAAAAAAAAAAAAAAATATGCGGAATTGTCCAGGCTGTCTCTGCCCTGCTGAGCCCGCCAAAAGTCCCATTCTGCAAACGGTGCTGCACCAGTTGAGTAGTCCTCAACTTACGACCGGTTGAGTAGTCCTCGACTTACGACCGGTTGGGGGTCGCGGCATTAAAAAGGTTGAGAACCACTGCTTTAACCAAACGGAGTCGAAAGCTTTTTTTCCCCCTAAGGCAGGGCTTTTCAACCAGTGGTACGGGTACCACCTGTAGTACATTGGCACCTGGCAGGTGGTACGCGAGCATCCTAGAAAAGTGGGAGCAGGGGAGGGGAATGAGCTGAACTGGTGGCAGCACCCCACAAGCCTGAGCGAGAGATGGCTGGAGCTGCAGGGCTCAGCGGAAGCACCAGGATCAGCGCCAGGCTCCAGCTGGAGCTCGGCGCTGATCCTGGCACTTCTGCTGAGCCCAGAAGTGCCGATCAGCTGGAATGTTGCAGCATCTCCAGGATCTTGTGATTTACATTCAGATTCTTGGCAACTGATTCATATTTATGACGGTCACAGTGTCCCAGGGTCATGTGAAGTGACCAAAACCTGCTGCAACCACCCAGCAGGCAGAGGGGATAAAAACAAACACCCCCACCCCACCCCCGCTGTCAATCCTCAACAGAAATGCTCACAACAATGAAAACCTCGGACAGGAGGAAGAGCACGGCCGGGCGGGCGGGCAGGTGTCTTGCTCGGCTGTGGCTTGGGGGGGCACTTTTTTCAGTGCCATTGTATAACTTTGAACAGCCACTAAGTGAACTGTTGTAAGTCGAGGACTACCTGTACTTTATCACTTTTTTCCTTTTTGTGGGGGGGTCATCAAGTTTTTGTCACCTTGCTAGGCGACTGATGGTACTCAGATGTTGCCATATCCTAAAAGTGGTACAATGGGTGAAAAAGTTGAAAAGCCCTGCCCTAAGGGATCGGATTGGGGCAGGTCTGACAGGGTCATAAATATATGCCAATTGCCAAGGGCTCAAGTTTTGATCACATGACCATGGGGATGCTGCAACAGTTTGTTAAGTGTAAAAACCGGTCGTAAGTCACTTTTGTCAGTGCCACTATAACTTTGAACGGTCACTAAACAAACGGCTGTTAAATCGAAGACTACTATACCAGGGGTACGCAACTTTGGCTCTTTTATGACTTGTGGACTTCGACTTCCAGAATTCCTCAGGAATAATAATAATAATAATAATAATAATAATAGTAGTAGTAAAGTTGGAAGGGAACTTGGAGGCCATCTAGTCCAACCCCCTGCTCGGGCAGGAAACCCTACACCATTTCGGACAAATGGCTGTCCAGTCTCTTCTTAAAAACTTCCAGTGTTGGAGCATTCACCACTTCTGGAGGCAGGTTGTTCCACTGGTTAATTGTTCTCACTGTCAGGAAGTTTCTCCTCAGTTCTAGGTTGCTTCTCTCCTTGATTAGTTTCCATCTGTTGCTTCTTGTCCTGCCTTCAGGCACTTTGGAGAATAGCTTCTCCCTCTTCTTTATGGCCTATACAATTGTCCTCCTCCTGTCAGTCTCTTTAGCGGCAGTTATTCCACTTTCAAAATAACTTAGTTCGGCTTTTGATAGTTGCTTCTAACTTTATTTTACATTTTGTGGTTATTTCAAGATCAAAACAACTCTTGAGGAGTTATACAGTTTGATTCAGGCAGGTCTTTCAACCCCTTTCATTCCGGTTTACTCTCAAAACCATTTCTACTTCTTTCTTTTTTCCAGGGAGAGCTGCAGGATGTCAGCAACGCTCTTGCACATTTTGTTTAAGTCTGGCTGTTTTTCAGAATTATAAACTCCTACTCCCACTCCTCTCCCCACCCCAGCCCTTGCAGCACAGCCAAACAGGATCGGGTCTGGAGAGGATCTGCACAATGGGACTGTCTCAAGCTGACTCCCATGCCCCATCTGCCAATCAATGCTCCCCCGCCCCCAAACCATGCAAAACACCTCCAAGGATTGGCTGAAGGCTGAGCACTCTTCAGTGCCCAGATTTTTTTGAGGGGGGAGGGAGGTGAATAGAAAAGGGGGACTTTGCAGACACCAGAGAGAAGTACAATCCAGAAATCTGGTTGAGTTGTTCAATATTTCTGCAATCAATACTTTTTTACACCTCTCTCTCCCCCCCCCTCTCCCCCTCAAAGGTGCCTTTTCAGGTGGCAACTGGACTTTTTTTTTTCTTTGAAGACGTTTCGCTTCTCATCCAAGAAGTTTCTTCAGCTCTGACTGGATGGTGGGGAATGGAAAGATTTATACTCCTTGCAGACAGCTGGTCATTTGCCTTCTTTTAGAGCAGACATGTCAAACACAAGGCCCGGGGGCCAGATGCGGCCTGCAAAGTGGGTTCATGTGGCCCGCGAAGCCATCCTGGAAACAGTGAGGGAACGGCCCCCGCTGCCTTGGCCCTGGCCCAGCCGGCTTGGAACCAATGTACAATTTTGTGGTGGCCATCTAGGCTGAAACACATTCAGTCTTAGCTCCACAAGGCCGTCTAGAAACAGTGAGGAACCAGCCCCTGCCACATCGCCCCCGCCCCCTGGGTGCATGCTGGGGAGGTGTCACCCTTTGTGAGGAATGAAGAAATGGACCATGCCTTGGCGCTTGCTCCGGTCCCACCCTTCTGAGACCCTCAGATCTGTCCCACTCCTGCCCAGGCCCCCACAGGCACCCTTGACGTGAATGATGTAGAGCTGGCCACACCCACTCAGTAGGCCACACCCACTCCATTCACGCCTACCCAGTAGGCTGCACCCAACCTGGCCACACACACCCGGCCCCCCCAGGGCAACCGCAATGCTGATGCGGCCCTCAATGAAATTGAGTTTGACACCCCTGTTTTAGAGAATCGTTGAGGCCATCTGGAGGCTTAGCTGTGTCCTCAGGGTCAGCTGAGCGATGCAAAAGGGTTACAAGAAGGCTCCACATTTGCATTACTCAATTGACCCTGAGGACACAGGTATACATCCAAGTGGCCTCTAAAAAGAATGCAAATGACCAGCTGTCTGCAAGAAGTATAAATCCTTCCATTCCCCACCACCCAGTCAGAGCTGAAGAAGCTTCTTGGAGGAGAAACGAAACGTCTTCAAAGAAAAACGAGAAAGTCCAGTTGCCTTGTGAAAAAGCACCTTTGGGACAACCGTGGCTTGGATGACTGAGAATCTCCACAGACTGAGAATCTCTCTCTCTCTCTCTCTCTCTCTCTCTCTCTCTCTCTCTCTCTCTCTCTCTCTCTCTCTCTCTCTCATGAATTTCTCCACAGACTCTCTCTCTCTCTCTCTCTCTCTCTCTCTCATGAATTTCTCCACAGACTGACTCTCTCTCTCTCTCTTTAATTTTCTCCCTGCTTTCAATTTCACAGCCCTCCTTATTGGACCCCTTGCTTGTGTGACCCCTTCGATGCAAAGGCCGTTTGCCATTCACACCCCAAACTCTTCTCAATATACAAACATTTAAAGCTTTGCCCTTCTTGGGGTGGGGGTGGGGGGCGTGGTGGGTCGTTTTGGCTTCCCAAACAAGGTTAGGTGTCTCCTCTTTTCACAGGGCTTCCCCTCAGAGCAGGCTCTGATGTGAAGGCTAGACCAAATTGATGACTCGGCTTTCGCAATCAATGCATTTATACGGCTGGTCCCCCGCGTCGTGATTTCGGTAGGCGGGAAGGTTATCGCTGACCACGAAGCTTTTCCCGCACTCCGCGCAGATGTAGGCTTGCTCCCCCGGGTGATCCCGTTGGTGCCTATCCAGGCTGCCTTTACGACTGTAGCTCCTTCCGCAGTTCATGCACTTGAAGGGCTTCTCCCCCGTGTGGGTCCTCTGGTGTGTGGTCAAGATGGATTTCAGGCTGAAATATTTCCCGCACTCCAGGCATTGATAGGGTTTCTCCCCCGTGTGGGTCCTCTGGTGCCGCTTGAGGCTCCCGCTACGATTGAAGCGTATCCCGCACTCGCTACACTCATACGGCTTCTCCCCCGTGTGGGTTCTCTGATGCGCGGTCAGCGTGCCACTGTCGCTGAAGCTCTTGCCACATTCCATACATCGATATGGCTTCTCCCCCGTGTGGGTCACGCGGTGCCGGTTGAAGTCTGATTTATATTTGCACATCTTCCCACACACGGGACACTTGATCCTCCACTTCCCTTGGCGACCCTCTTGCTGGACCAGGAGATTGTGGATGTCGGCATCCCGAAAAGGGGAAGAGCACTTCTCGCTCTTGGATGGTTTGGGAGGCTCTTTTTCATTCTGGAAGGTCTCTTTTCCTGCTTCAGGGCTGGTTGTTTCTGAGGACTCCATAGGGGTCTCTTCGTAACTTTCAGTGTCCTGCCAATCACCTGGGAAAAAGGAAGGGAAGGGAAGGGGAAAAAAGGGAAAGGGGAGGGAAAGGGAAAGGGAAGGGAAAGGGAAAGGGAAGGAAGAGAATGGGAAAGGAAGGGAAAGAAAAGAAGGAAAGGAAAGGAAGAGAATGGAAAGGGAAGGGAAAGGAAAGGAAAGGAAGAGAATGGGAAAGGAAGGGAAAGGAAAGGAAAGGAAAGGAAGAGAATGGGAAGGGAAGGGAAAGGAATGGGAAGGGAAAGGAAAGGAAAGAAGGAAAGAAAAGGAAAGGAAGAAAATGGGAAGGAAAAGGGGAGGGAAAGGGAAGGGAAGGAAGGGAAAGGAAGGAAGAGAATGGGAAGGGAAAGAAAGGAAAGGAAAGGAAAGGAAAAGAAAGGAAAGGAAAGGAAAAAGCAAGGGAAGGGAAGAAAAGGGAAAAGCAAGGGAAGGGAGGAGAAGGAGAGGAGAGGGAAGGAAGGAAGGAGAAAGTCTTAAAAGTTTATCTTTAATATTCCCTCCCACTTTCTCTGTCAACAAAAATCTAGGTTATCTCCCAAATTAATTTCAACATGTTTGCTTGCGGTCTACTTCTTACATAACTGTACAGTACTGGAATTTTCAAACTGGAAGCAGTCAGTCCAAGTTCATCAACACCAGATCCGGGCAGCGGTGGGATTCAAATATGTGAACAACCAGTTCTCTGTGTGGATGCCACTTCTGGAAGTCCATTCTGGGCCTGGGCAACAAAAAATTAGCTACCGGTTCTGCCGAAGTGGTGCAAACTGGCTGAATCCCACCACCATTTTTACCCCCGTCCCCTTTTTCCATCTGATTCTCTACATTAGTGTTTTTCAATCTTGACAAGTTTAAGATACACAGACTTTAACTTCCAGAATTCCCAGCTAGCATGCTGGTTGACAGCCCACTGGCTGCAAATTCTGACAGTTCCTCACGCTGGTTAGGGAATTCTGGGAGTTGAAGTCCACACATCTTAAAAGTTGTCCAAGTTGAGAAGCACTGCTCTCTACCGTGCAAGAATAAACAGGAGTTCATCACTTCAGCCTCCAACAGTTGTGCAAGAAGCATCCTTACCCACAGAAGTGGCATTTTCATTGCTCTCCAACATGACTTTCTTCCATTGGGCCTGCTGGCTTTGATTTTGGAGAACAACCAACTTCTTCAGCCTCTAAGATCACCAGCCTCTAAAAAGGCGGGAAAAACATCAGTTATCTCCTCAGTATTATTGCATTGGTCTAGGACAGGGGTAGGCAACCTTGGCTCTTTTACGACTCATGGACTTCAACTCCCAGTGAGGGAGGACCTTTATACCTTCCACACGGACAGGGTGGTGTTATGTTTGGACCCCTCCTTCGTTCCAAAGGTCAATTCCCTATTCCACAGAGCACATGAGGTGGTGCTACCAAACGTTTGCCCCAAACCGCCCCATGAACTGGAGCGCAAGTAGCACACCTTAGACCAGTGTTTCTCAACCTTGACAATTTTAAGGCATCTGGACTTCAACTCCCAGAATTCCACAGCCAGCATTGCTGGCTGTGGAATTCTGGGAGTTGAAGTCCACATGCCTTAAAATTGCCAAGGTTGAGAAACACTGCCTTAGACGTTCGCAGAGTTTTAAAGCAGTACATCAAGTGAACGGCACCCTTCCGTAGATCAGAAGCACTGTTTGTCCCCTTCCACTCTCACACAAGAGGTTGGAGAGTCACTGCATCCCAATAAAACCATCCCGAACCAATATCTATTCACTCCCTCCCTGAAAACATCCAGCCTTCGCCAACTGTTTAGCTCAGCAGTTTCACTAAACTGGTTTTACTGTCAAATGGTTATCAGAATCTCTTCTCTATTACTTTGTCACAGAGAGGCAGGCAAGAGCTACAGCAGTGTTTTGGAAGACTAAATGAAGCTGTTTTGGGACTTACGTGATACAGATTTTTAAACGTTACCAAAAATTAGAAAAAACACACACATCCGAACAGTGAGAACAGTTCTTCGATGGAATCCACTACCTAGTTCCTCAGTTTTGGCAGCTTGAAGATATGTGGACTTCAACTCCCAGAATTCCCCAGCCAGCATAAATGGCCCTTTCTAGTTTCATGTCAGAGCATGCACAGTCTTATTGCGCTGAGGTAACCCAGGAGTAAATGCAGTACACACAGTGGTTTGTATTAAATGGTGGTTTATATTACACTATATCTACAAATATACACTAGAAATAAGATACATCCACGTGGTGAAATAGCAAACTCCAATACACAGCAATTACAGTAATCAAACGGACAAGAAAGACTCCAGCAAAAAACTTCCCTTTTATACTCAGACTCTTAAAGGGATACAGTCCCTGCTTACTCTTAAAGGGACACAGACACAGACTCTGCTGAGTCATTCCTATCATTGCATCATCCTATCATTGCATCATCCATCTTACATCTTTACCTAAGCTGTTTAGCTGTTAAATCATTAAACCTTGACTTTCCAATTGTCTTATTTAATTTCTAAGACAGTTGACAGGCTCCCCTTTGCTATTTTCAAGGAGAATACAGACATCTATATGTTTTGGTGTGCTTTAATCTGGATTTGTATCTTAAACAGGGAACTAAAAGACCGCAATTTGACATTGCAAGGACAAAGTTGTTATGGTTACCTTTGCGAAGAGGCTTTTCTTTGATACTGCAAGATCAATAAAATACGAGGGCCCTATGGGAAGAAAAACCACACTGTTATTCTAAAATAAATTATTCTGAAATATGCTTATCAGAGTTCCCTCGCTCCTTTTTCACTCCGAAGTGAAATTGGAGCAACTGAAACAATACTATAAATGCTGCCGCAAGTGGGCTCAATTGTGGTCCTAAATCGAGAACTATATATGCATACATAGGTATATAGAATAAAATAACAGAGTTGGAAGGGACCTTGGAGGTCATCTAGTCCAACCCCCTGCTCAGGCAGGAAACCCTATGCCATTTCAGACAAGTGGTTGTCCAATCTCTTCTTAAAAACTTCCCGTCTTGGAGCATTCACCGCTTCTGGAGGTAGTTTCAGAATCCAATTATATTTCATCTCTAGTTGTCGACTATGGAAAACCCCATTTCTGCCCTCTCTGGATTCTGTCATATGATGAAGGGAACGGGGGTGAACAAAGGGGCTTTATGGCCCTCACTTCCTTCAGTACACTTCAAAGGGACTGGATGTGGATACCACCAAAAGGACTAAACATAACATTAGGGCCATGAGCTTTCATCTACTCCTCTCTGAAGTCTCCCTTCCACCAGCAGTGAGGGAAAAGGGGGTGGAAATGTCACGCCTGGGATTGTTACTGGAAAGATGGTGGGGTGGGGTGGGGCTGCTGGGGACCCCTTAAAACCTTGAACTGTAGGGCTTGGGCCCCAGGTCCTGTCTAGAACGCCTGCAACCATTTTCTCTTAATAAAGGATGCCTGTTGGAAGGAATATTCCAAGAGTTCTGTCTTCTTAAGATGCAAAGTGGGGTGGGTCCTTACAGGTAGGTTGTTCCACTGATTAATTGTTCTAACTATCAGGAAGTTTCTCCTTACTTCTAGGTTGCTTCTCTCTTTGGTTAGTTTCCATCCGTTGCTTCTTGTCCTGCCTTCAGGTGCTTTGGAGAATAGCTCGACTCCCTCTTCTTTGTGGCAGCCCCTGAGATATTGAAACACTGCTATCATGTCACCCCTCATTCTTCTCTTCATTAGACTAGACCAGGGGTAGGCAACCTTGGCTCATTAATGACTCGTGGACTTCAACTCCCAGAATTCCTGAGCCAGCATGGCTGGCTCAGGGTTTCTAGGAGTTGAAGTCCACGAGTCATAAAAGAGCCAAGGTTGCCTACCCTGGACTAGACATACCCAATTCCAGCAACCATTCCATATATGTTTTAGCCTCCAATCCCCTAATTATCTTTGTTGCTCTTTTCTGTACTCTTTATACAATCTCAACATCTTTTTTACATCATGGTCACCAAAATTAGATGCAGTATTCCAAGTGTGACTTTACCAAATTATTATAAAGGGATATTAATACACTTCACGTGATTTTGATTCTATCCCTCTGTCAATGCAGCCTAGCACTGTGTTGGCTTTTTTGGCAGCTGCAGCACAATGTTGGCTCCTATTTAGGTGACTGTCCACTAGGACTCCAAGATCCCTCTAATGGTTACTGTTATTAAGCCAGGTACCACCTATGCTGTACTTTTGCGTATGCACATGTTTACACATGCCTGCACATACATAAGCATATACATCCGGGCGTCCAAGTGCGCGCACACATAAAGGGCTTCAAGGTAATAGATTTAATCCTGTGATTGCCCCGCTTTGCAACATCTTGCATGGCCCTCTGCCTATGATAATGGCAGGAGAAGCTGGGGAAGGGGGGGGAAATCCTTCTATTTACCTCCCGCTCTCCCCCCCCCCCCAGCAGATTTCGTTTCCAGCCCCATCCTCACCTCCCTTGGCGAAATTTCTTTCCCAATCCTTCCCCCTGCGCCACCGACCCCCTCCGCCCCGCCAGGCCTCTTTTCCCGCCCGGCCTTCCTTTCCAGCAACACCAAGACAGGTGTGCGGCTTCTTCTCCCCCCCCTTTGCCCCTTTCCTGCCTCTCTAGGAATCCGCGCTCCTATCCTTTAACCACTGCAGGCGTTCCATCGTGGCGCTCCCGTTTTGCTCTCCAGCTTCGGTGACTGCAAATTCCTTTCCTTCTCCGCGGTCCTTGCATCTGGGCTAACTAGGATAGCGGCGATCAAAGGTCTGGAGGTTTTTGTTTTTTTTTAAAAAAAATATTATTTAACAGAATAATTGAGTTGGAAAGGATCTTGGAGGTCTTCCAGTCTAGGCAGAACTGCACCGTAACAGAGTTGGAAGGGACCTGGGAGGTCTTCTAGTCTAGTCCAACCCCCTGCTCACCAATGGTTGTCCATTTCAGCCCTTCTGGGGTTGGAAGGAACAATAGAAAGGGTAAAGCCTTGCAAAGACTTCCAAGTCTTCAAAGGCTTGCAAAGGTAAACAAAACACCAGATAATCCTCACGGCCACAACAGAACCCATCATTTCTGTTGCTAAGTGAAACATTTGTGAAGTGGGGGTTTGCCCTGTTTTATGACCTTTCTTCTCACCCTTGTTAAGTGAATTATGAGAATAGAATATAGAACACCATGGTGTAAAAAAGATGTTGAGACTCTAGAAAGAGTACAGAGAAGAGCAACAAAGATGATCAGGGGATTGGAGGCTAAAGCATATAAGGAACTGTTGCTGGAATTGGGTATGTCTAGTTTAATGAAGAGGAGGACGAGGGAGGATATGATAGCAGTGTTCCAATATCTCAGGGGCTGCCCCAAAGAAGAGGGAGTCAAGCTATTTTCCAAAGCGCCTGAAGGCAGGACAAGAAGCAACGGGTGGAAACTAATCAAGGAGAGAAGCAACCTGGAACTAAGGAGAGAAGAAACTTCGACAGTGAGAACAATTAACCAGTGGAAAACAACTGCACCAGAAGCGAGTGAATGCTCCAACACTGGGAAGTAGGTTTAAGAAGAGGACTGGACAGACCACTTGTCTGAAATGTATAGGGTTTTTTTTTCGACTGACTGAGCAGGGGGTGGACTACTAGATGACCTCCAAAGTCCCTTCCGACTTTATATTATTATTGTATATTAGTCTTATTATAGAAATAGAATTTTTAGAAAATAGAATACAGATAGAATAGAAAATTAGAATACGAATGTAGAATTAAAATAGAATATAGAATTAGTATATAATAAAATATACAATAGAATATGAATATATAGAATAGTTATAATATATAGAACAGGAATTAGAATGTAGAATAGAAAATAGAATATGAATAAAATATAGAATAGAATGTAGGAAAGAAGAGAATATAGTGAATAGTCTATAATATAGAATAGAATGTAGAATAGAATATAGATAGTATATAATTATAGATAGAAATCTGTGAAGGGACTTTTGAAGATTTCTAGTCCAGCTGCCTGCTCAAGGAGAGAGAAACCTAGACCATCTCAGACAATGTGACTGTCAGTCTCTTCTTAAAAACTCTAGTGATGGAGCCGCCCATGATATTTTGAAGGCAAAGCTGATTCCACTGGCTAAGTGGCCTCACTGTTAGAAGTTCCCTTAATTCAGGGTTGTTCATTTGCAGTTGTAACGTGGGACTAACACAGTTGTCAGTGGATCTGGCTTCCTCCATTGTCGTTGTGCTTGTCAGAAGGTTACAAAAGAGAATCATTGCAAACCCATCATAAAATCTGTGCCACACGGATCCAATCTGGTTGGGTCATGATGGATGTTTAATAACTAGAGGGTAATAGACCACCACATTCCTTGCCAAACATCTCAATGGAAGGCGAACAATAATGGAAATTGAACGGGCCATGTTAAAATGTGGCTTGGCCCAGCATTTGGCAAGCTAAGCATAATTTTCAGAACCAGCCTCCATCAGAGAGTTTCGTCTTCTGAGCTTTTGGGAATGTCGTTGCTAGAGCCCATCTTCAGGGAACACCTCTCTAGCACTATTAAGAAGTTAACAGTGACCAATCCAGATTGGATCCTGCAACTGGGACAGGTATAGTCACCTTCATTCGTGATAAAAATGATCACTTGCCGAGCGTCGAAGTTTGATTCACGTGATCATGGGGAATCCTGCAATGGAGTCGCAAGTTATTGAAAAAACAGTTCTAAAGGTCACTTCTTTTTCAGTGCCCTTGTAAACTTTAAATGGCACAAATGAAATGTTACAAGTTGAGGACTATCTGTAACAGAGTTGGAATGGGACTTTGGGGGTCATCTAGTCCAGCCCCCCTGATTAAGCAGGAAGAATCCTTATACCATGTCCAGACAAGTGGACTGTCCAGTCTCTTCTTGAAAGCACCCACAAACTTCTGGAGGCCAAGTTGTTCACTGGTTAATTGTTTCACTGTTCAGGAAATCTATCCTTAGTTCTAGGTTGCTTCTCCCTTGATTATCCCAAAGGTACTTTAAAAGAGACAAGGGACTGTTTCTTTGTGAAGACCATTTCGCTCCTCATCCAAGAAGTTTTCTTCAGCCTGACTAATCCAGTGATGGCAAACCTTTAAAGACAAGTGCCCAAAAACACTGGCCCCGTCCCTGCTCCGCCCCCTGCGTTTGCCCACATGGACCACTCACCACTCCAGGGCCCTCCACAGATCGCCCAGGCCAGGTTCCCAACAACGCCATGGCAGCCATGCCCTCTGCCCTTGCCCCGCAGTATCAAAACTGTGTACGGATGGGGCATAAGGGCAGGGTTCTTGTCCACGCTGCCTGGCTAGCCATGTTCTTGGCTGCGATGCGTTTCCGCTCAGGGGGGATGAATCGTCCCAGAGGGGCTGTTTGGTAAGGAGGGGATCGTGGGGGCAGGCAAGGCTGGGGCAATGGCACGTGTGCCCACAGAGTGGGTTTCGAGTGCCCGCGGTCTCTGGGCACCTCTGCCATAGGTTCGACAACACTGAACTAGATGGGGGAAAATGCCAGGATTTTAACTCTTTGCAGGTAGTGGTCATATTGCAGTTCTCTCCTTGATTAGTTTCCATCCATTGGCTTCTTGATGTAAAAATATAAATGTGGGGGTTCTTGGTGTCTCTGAGCTTGCTGGTTTTTCTTGCAGACATTTCATTACCTAACTAGGCGGGATCATCACGTGCTAGTGATGCATAAATATTATAAGTGCACTTAGTAATAGTAATAGTAGTAACGTTGGAAGGGACCTTGGAGGTTCATCTAGTCCAACCCCCCTGCATCAAGGCAGGAAACCACTACACCAGTTCGGACAAATGGCTGTCCAGTTCTCTTCCAGTGTTGGAGCATTTTACGCTTCTGGAGGACAGGCTGTCCACTGATTTAATTGTTCTCACTGTCAGGAAGTTTCTCCTTAGTTTCTATGTTGCTTCTCTCCTTGATTTAGTTTCCACCCGTTTGCTTTCTTGCCATGCCCTTCAGGCGGCTCTGGAGGAATAGCTTGACTTTCCCTCTTTCTTTGGGGGCAAGACCCTGAGATATTGGGAATACTGCTATCATGCCCCACTTGTCTTCTCATTCATTAAACTAGACATACCAATTCTAGCAACCGCCCCCCCCCCCCCCCCCCCCCCCCCTTCCTTATATGTTAGCATCCAGTTACCCCTAATCATCTTTGTTGCTCTTCTCTGTTACTCTTTCTAGAGCATTGGTTCTCAAACTGTGGGTCGGGACACCAGTGGGGGTCAACCGGACTATTTCATGGGGGGTCGCCAAACAACGCAGTCCACCATTTCCCCCCCCCTTTGGCTTAGCTGTGCTACTCCCTTTTATTCTATTGGCTTTTGAAAGCCAATAGAACAGACTCTCTTGAATAGAGTCTAATTCTATTGGCTTTCAAAAGCCAATAGGAATTGTCCAGGCTGTCTCTGCCCTGCTGAGCCCGCCAAAAGTCCCATTCTGCAAACGGTGCTGCACCAGTTGAGTAGTCCTCGACTTACGACCGATTGAGTAGTCCTCGACTTACGACCGGTTGGGGGGTCGCAGCATTAAAAAGGTTGAGAACCGCTGTTCTAGAGTCTCAACATCTTTAGAGAAATGCATTTATATAATGCGCGCGTCTCACGTTGTTTGTTGCTTTGCAAATGCCGTGCAACGCCCTTTCAAGTGTCGAGGACGGCTTATTAACTCTTCGCGTTCCCCGCTATTGCAAAGAAACAGAACCGTTGCACGGGAAAGAGAGAGAGAGAGAGAGAGAGAGAGAGAAAGTCTCCCTTCTTTCCTTCCAAAGCAAACGGCCCAGGATGATGGGAACTGTCGTCTGAGGCGGGCTTCGAAAGGCGCGCCCCGCTCAGAGGAGGCGCGTGAAGACCGCTCGCGCCGCCGGCCGAAGCCTTCCTCGCTGGGGAGCGCCACGCCAAGGGTTAAAGCCAGGGAGTTTCGCTTCCTAGAGAGGCGCCTGGTGGGGCGGAAATGGGAATGGGCTCAGCCGTGCCCCCTCCCCTCTTTTGCCGGAGGAGAAAAAAGCCGTTTGGCGTTCGGCACGTGCGGCGGCGGTTGGGGTGTCCTCGCGGACGGTAGGTGGGCGAAGGGGGCGACGGGCCTCGCCCGGAGAGAGGCTCGGGGGAGGGAGGGAGGGAGGCGAAGCATCGGCGCAAGGCCGCTGCCGGGCTGGGGAAGAGGAGCCGCCGCGAACCCCAGCGGGGGTCGTATCAGCTAGTGGTTATAGGACTAGGCCTCTCTCTCTCTTTTTTTTGTTTTTTTCCCCTGTCGCTCAGCATCTCCTCCTGTGGCTGGGCTCTGCGTTCCGGTAGCCCAAGAGAATGGAATAGAGATAGGAATATAGAATAGGGATAGAGATAGAGCGATGGGATGGGATGGGATATAGAATAGGGATGGAATAGAAATAGAGATAGGATGGGAATGTAGAATAGGAATAGAAATAGGGACAGGAATAGAAGATCGAATATAGAATAGGGATAGAAATAGAGACAGGATGGGATATAGAATAGGAATAGAGGTAGGACAGGAATAGGAAAAAAATAGGAATAGAATAGGAATAGAAAATAGAATATAGAATAGGGATAGAAATAGAGCCAGGATGGGGTATAGAATGGGAATAGAGATAGGACAGGAATAGAAAAAAATAGGAATAGAATAGAGATAGGATAGGAATAGGAAATAGAATATAGAATAGGGATAGAAATAGAGACAGGATGGGATATAGAATAGGAATAGAGGTAGGACAGGAATAGGAAAAAAA